GCTTAAGAAGCTCCTGTAGCCGGGATGACGTCAAACTCACGCGTGTAGGTGCAATTTGACCTTGCGAACCATTTCTGGCCTTTGCAGGGTCATACGTAGCCTGCGGGCAGCCCCATCTGACAACGGCCTGCGAGCAGGCTACATACCACGTAACATACCACGTTACGTGTATGGGGCTGCCCGCAGGCTAGGTCATACGATACAAGCTTCGCATTGTTTTGACGATTTTCAATCGTATTTCCGGTTTGGGATTAACTCACTTCGAGCTCACAGTTGGACAAGAAATGGAAACCAGACACAGTACTAAAATGCGGTGCCCGCCTACAAATAAAACTTTCGGTGTTTCCGCCTGCATGTACAAGTAAAGTTATATTTAGCACGCTACAACAGTACACATTTTCCTGTCGGCCGCCAGCTGGTCCGTACGTTAGGATCAAAACTGCGTTTTAAAGCCTTCAAAATAAAATATTTTGGGCTCAAAATACTATCAAAATGAGGAGAAAAGTGAGACGAATCCACTGGCATACGGCCGAAAACGAGAAAACCAACAATTCCGAAGTTATCAAGGATCAAACTGACTGCATTTTTAATTAGTTTAATTAATAATTTTGAGCGTTTGTAAACAATACAATTTCGCTTATTAAAACTGCACATTAAAACCTTTAATATATAATATTTTGGGCTCAAACAACAAACAAAATAAAGAGAAAAGTGAGACAAATCGACTGGTATACGGACGAAAAAGAGAAAAGCAACAATACGAAAGTTATCATGGTCAAATGTATTGCATTTTTAATTAGTTTAATAATTTTGAGCGATTTGTGAACAATACAATTTCGCTTGTCTTTCAAAGGCCATAAATCGCTAGAATACTGTAGTTTAGTAATACATTTGACATCTGTGAGTATAATTTCTTACACTGAATCGAACGGTGGTATTTTTGTCCTTATTGGGCGCATAAAACCAGAGATAAGACCAGGGACGCCGGAACTGGGGGGGCAGGGGGGGCGGCTGCCCCCCTTGCCTTTTGCTAGGGGGGGCAGGGGGGGCAGAAGTGCCCTTTTAGTTGTAAAATAATACGTGATAAATCGCATTTCCGACGATGTTTTTTGTAGGAAAATCACGAGATTCAGGTAATTTATAGTTTATATTTATAAAATTTTGCGAAATTTTTGGAATTTAGAAAAATATTTTGAAGAAATGGCGAAAATTTAAGATATCCGGAAAAATTTTTGGCTTCACGGAAAATTTTTGTATGTCCGGAAAAAATTTTTGACCCCTAAAGTGGTACACTGACCGAAATTTTTTTGGCGACGGGGGGGGGAAGGGGGGGAGGTCGCCAAAAAATTTTGCAGTGAAAAAAAAAATTTCAGTAAAAGTGTCCTTGGTGTGCGTCCGCCCCCCTTTGCCCTATTATCGTTCCGGCGTCCCTGGATAAGACGCAGCAAAAAGTCAATCGTGAGAGTTCGAGTTGTAATTCGAAAGAAAACTTTCCTCGAAAAAAGGAATTCGGAAAACGTGAAGGATTATTTTGAGCGGCTTTTGTCTTTCAAAGGCGACAAATAGCTAGAATAGAAGTCAATTTTGAAATCAATTTTCCATCCGTAAACATAACTTTTCACGCTGATTCTAACAGTGGTATTTGTGTCCTTGTTTGACGCATAAAACCAGAGATAAAGCCATAGGCGTACCGGGCGGGGGGGGCGGTAGCCCCCCCCCCAGTTTTTTGGGCAGTCGGGCAATATTCGATCAACAGTCGGGCAATTTTGGTTTGCAATAAAAAAAAATGGGACAAATTCTGTCAATTTTGTCTAAAATGGAGTCAATTTTTTGGTAAATTTTGTGATTTTTCGAAAATTTGTGTGATGTTCCGAAAAATATTGGTTGTCCGGAAGATTTTTTTGACCCCTAAAATGGTACACTGACCGAAATTTTTTTGGCGACGGGGGGGGGGAGGTCGCCAAAATAATTTTTTCGGAACAATTTTTTTGGTACTAGTCGGGCAGAATCCCGAAAAGTCGCGCAATTTTCTTTCCGCCCCCCTAATTTTTTCCTTCCGATACGCCCATGGATAAAGCTGAGCAAACAGTCGATCATCATGAGAGTACACGATTAATAATAATTAATAAATTCCGAGCACGTGCAAGGAATTTTTGGTAGGCGATTAAGGAAACGTATTGATGCGAACAAACTAACAAACGGACAAACTAACAAACTCACAGGCAGAATATAATGCGGTGCCAAAAATGGCACGGGCACCGCAATATATTGATAAAAGATAGAGATTTGAAGATACAGGCTTGCAAATAACACTCTAAGTAGTGTTTTTAATGGGGATTCGAACAAGACTATTACAAAGACGATATGTTCGAAGGGGCCGAAGTTATTTTCGGCGAAAGGTATGGCTAGTCTATATTTTTGTTCAGACAATTGCGTAATTTGATACAATATGATCGTGTTTGACTTTCAAAGGCCCATAAATCGCTACAATGTTGATAATGACTAAAACTATAGGGACGAATTAGTTAAATCTTTTATTTCTGAATCGAATGGTGGTATTTCTGTCTTCATAGCATGCACTGAACCGAAGATATTAAATTTCTTGCCCATCGTTCAGTGCTGAACGACGACACTGGGATGTGGTGAAAAGGAAAATTAAAACAAGTCCTATATTGTCATTGACATTAATATTAGCACTGATCAATATCCGAGCTTACGGATTGAAAAGGACGAAAAGATTTGCAATAATATAAGGCTACGATTACGGTATACCGGTAGGTGCTTTTTCGCGCCGCTATACCGAAAGCTATCCGATACGGAATGTACAAATTTCAGAAGCTGAGCGAAACAACATCTCTCCGTTGCAATAATTCCTCTGAAAATAGCGTTCCTAAAAAGTACGGTCAGGTGTCTTTTCACGTCGCTACGGAAAGCTATCCGATACAAGTGTAAACATAGCCTAAATATACGCACGTATGGTGTTTCCACAAAAGTTATATTATAAAACTGCAAAGAACTTAATCTGCACTTGTTCTCCAAAACTCCCAAATAACTGTTAGAGAAAAATCACATTTTATATCATTTCACATGACTGTGAAATTTTATATGTGCGTGAAATTGGAACATTTCAATTCACATGTGAAAATGCTCATTATATTTCAGATGTCAATTTTCACATATGAAATTTAAGTTTCACATATTTTTTGAAATGGTTCGTATGTGAAGATTATATGAAACTGTTTCGCATTGGAATCTATTATTTCTTATATGTGCATAGAATTGGAACACTTCACGTGTGAAAAATTCTTTTCCGACATGTGGAGTGACAGGGACGCCGCACGCTGTGAAGGCAAGGGGGCAGATGGCTAAGAGATGTTTGCGAAACATCGGGAGTTGAACTTCGCCTAATCATGTTTTCTATTGATTTGGTGATAGGGGTGTGAGGGGTCAGTGGCGTGCTGGGTACTAATTTTCTGGGGGGGCCAGTGTGCATTCAACTAATATGCGCCCCTATATTGTAACGCTTGATAAACGAGTGTCGAAGGCACGAGCCGAGCGCCACAGGTGCGAGGTTTCTCTAGGGGGGTCCGGGGGCATGCCCCCTCGGAAAATTTTTGAATTTAGGGTCTCTGAAATGCCATTTCCTGGACTTTGGGGGGAAGGTTTGACAGAAATCTGATGGTCAGGAAACGGCATTATAACGTGTTGAAATTTGCAATTTGGTTAGAATTTAGTAGTAGTATTTAAATTGGGCAATGCTAACTCAGTTCCAGCGATTAATCTAATCCCAATTCTATTCTCTACTGATCTCGTGACCTGAATACATTTACAACATACAGCTCTTTTATACAATAACACACGGACCCCACGCACATGCACTTTAAGGTTACCTTGCTTGACTGCCAAGCGTTTCAGCATTATCTTATCACTTACATTACTCATGAGTCATGATGTTTCTTGCACAAACAACTAAATTGCGTACACAACTTACATTATCATAACTATCTAATTTGCGCCGCTCTCGTGATTCGTGAAGCATAATACCTTGTATGTATTTTTGTATGTAAACTTTATTTAAAGACGTTAGCCTCGTCAACGATTTGTTGATTTTCACGAGGGACGTCTGTTACTATTAAAAATTACAAATATGATATAGAAAAGAATAAAGAATTATATACAACTATTTACAATACAAGAATTAAGTTCCAAACGGTGTGACCCATATTTCCAAAGCATGCATATACAGTATATTAGATGTTAGCGTGAAACTTTCAGGCAGTTTTTAAAAGAATAAATTGATTGCGCTAGCTTCGCATCAGAAGGAAGACTATTCCACAATTTAGCTCCGCTATACTTAAAGCTTTTTTTTAGAAATTCTCGTTTTGGCTTAGCAAGGGTAAGGTCAGTATAAGTACTGCGAAGATTATAACTGGTTTGAACAAGGTCCCTTCTCGTTAGAGCATCCTTCAAGTTCGGCCCAGCGCAATCATTCAGGACTTTATACATTAATGTGGATTTAGTTGTACGTTGTCTTATCTCTAAATTTTCCCAAGCAAGGGATCGAAGAACATCAGCAGACCTTATTTCATAGCTGGCGCCGGTTATAATTCTCGCTGCACGGTTTTGGAACTTTTGAAGCTTATCTTTTAGCTGTTGGTTACAGACGTCCCATAATGGACTACAATAATCAAAATACGGTTCTATCAAAGCTCTGTAAATGGTATGCAGGTTATTTATAGGAACATATGGCTTAATTCGTTGCATTGCTCCTATGCCGGCCCCAACTTTCTTACAAATCATTTCAACATGCTCATGCCAATTAAGGTTTTCATCAAGTTTAACCCCAAGGCATGTGTATGAATGAGCAAGAGTTATGAATTGGTTATTCATCATTACTGGAATATCATAAGTCATAGTATCAGTATTATACTTTGAACCGATATACATTAATTTGGTCTTAGTTGGGTGGTGTTGCAGTTTATTTTGAGCAAGCCACTCACCGACTTTTTTCAGGTCATTATTTAGATTTTCAGTAAGTTCCTCAATAGTTTTAGCAGAAGTAGAAATTTGAGTATCATCAGCGTATAGGTGTGGCGAAGTTTTTTCGAGGCATTCGGGTAAATCATTAATATATAATAAAAACAGCAAGGGACCAAGAATTGATCCCTGCGGAACTCCGCACACAATCGTTTTAGGTGATGACATTGCACCGTTGACAATGCATGCTTGCTCTCTATTAGTTAGATAGGACTTAAACCAATCTAGTTCCACATTTTTTATTCCAAATTGATCATTCATCTTTTGCAATAAGATTGTATGATCAATAGAATCAAAAGCTTTTCTAATATCAAGGAAAACAACACCACTCAACTGACCATTATCCATGGTCTCATAAAGTGTGTCACACATTTGAATGAGTGTTGTTAAAGTTGAATGCTTAGGCCCAAAGCCAGATTGATGTTTAGATAGCAGCGAATTATCATTCAAAAACTTATAAATCTGGTTGAAAACCGATCTCTCTAGTATTTTACTGACAATAGGCAATATAGATATCGGTCGGTAATTTTCACATCTTTGTCTATCATCAGATTTAAAAATTGGCATTACCCACGCCTTTTTCCATTCATCAACATATATCCCAGTTTTGATTGAAAGATTATAAATCCATGTTAATGAAGGACCAATAACTTCCGTGGACAATTTAAGAGTTATAGGAGGGATGTTATCAATACCGGTAGACTTTGAAATTTTAAGATTACGTAATTGACAAATAATATCATCCATACTAATTTCAGAAAACTTAAAATTTATATTAGAGTAATAGTTAGAGTGGTAATTTTCATCATCTGAAAAGTTCGTACATGGAGAATCGTTCTCAATTTCATTAGCCAAATTTACCCCGATGTTAACAAAGAAGTCATTAAACGTTTCAGCTTTCAAAGTATCATCTGAAATCACAACATCATCACATTTAAGTTGAGAGATATTATTTAATTTTTTGTTTTTACCTAAGAGAATATTAATTAACTTCCAACTATGTTTCATATCTTTCGATTGTGCGCAGTTCTCAAATTTGTTACAGAAAAATGCTGTTTTAGCTTTAGTTAGTTCTGAATTGACTTTTTTACGTATTTCTTTGAATTTCTCCCAGTGAATCTGGGAATTATTTTTAACAGCCATTTTCTTGTAAGAGTCCCTAACCCTCATCAGGTTTTTGATATCAGGGGAAATCCAAGGAATAGAATTTCCTCTAAGTCTCATCAGTCTTAGGGGCGCATGCCAATCAAGGACGTGTAGGAAAAGGGATCTCACATAATACCCGAAAAAAAAGGGATCTCACATAATACCCGAAAAAAAGGGCATAATTCCCGTGATCGCTTCGAAACCTGACCAATATTCCGGTAATGAGACATTGTGTGTGATCACTGATCATGTTTCTATATCAACGATTTTGTGTGATCTGTGAAGTAGCAAATTAGCCAATACGGTTAGACCAAACAGTCTGTAATTTAATATATCACTTTGTCGTCTATGCGCTTAGTCTCGATCTGTTTATTTGCCTGTATAAATATATACTTCTTGACGGAAGTAACTATATTTTTTCAAATGTGTTTTTTCCCACCCACTCTCAAAATTCCGCACGTAACGGCGCCCCCTTTTCATTTTTGCGCCCTCCAAGAATTGCCAGCTGGGGGGCCCGTGGCCCCCCGGCTCCCCCAACCAAACCGTTAAAATTTGAATTTTTCAAATTTGTTAAAATATTTCTTCTCAACCCTCCTGATCTATTATCGTGTAACAACCCCTTCCTCCCCCGGTCATCGAGAAGTTACTGTTCCCTAACAACACAAATCAGAGAAATTTCAAAATTTAGTACACTGGTTAGACTTTTTGAAACTTTAATTAAATCACATTGTACATTTTTAACAATTGCAAATCAGACAATCTTAGACAATACTTATTGAGACCAACAATCTAAATGACAGTTAATATTTAATTATTGCATTATATCGCTAAATCGCGTTAAACTTTGCCACGAATTTTCAACACCCCTTTCTCCATGTCAATGTTGTTTTTTCTTGTCAAATATGTGTTACTGCGTTTGAAAATAAAAAATTTTCACGTTGTATGCAACATTAATTCGGGGCAAGGGGGTTAAAAATATGAATTCTTACGCTTCCTTCAAATCAATAATTAAAAAGTACTTTTTACAGCTACATTTAACAATATAACATGTTTTTATAAATATAATTATATGTATTCATATGTATTATATAGTGAAAACACTCGAACTGACACAAGTTTATATTGATATAGCTTAAATAATAAACCTAGAGGACTAAAAGAAAAAGCCATGTGGTTTCTAGTAGGCTTCTAGCCCATTTCTTGTATAATATCCATTCCTTGTAAATGTTGCGAAGAAATGTGGCAAAAAATTTTTTAAAAAGATTTAAAAAAAAATACCCGCTACATCTTATCATCCTTGTCAGCAGACAGTGTTGCGTATCTTGCACGCATCTAAATTATTTA